TATAAGAAACATAGGACCCAGAATACAGACAGACAAAAGAGGGGTTTGGGGGGGGGGGGTAATTAATAAAGAAAACCAAACTTACAACTGAGGCAGATCAGAACTCAAACAGAATCCAGGTAAAACTCAGGAAGAAAAAAAACGAAGCTCTAGGAGACACAGGTGAAACCTGACTGGAGCAAAAACACAAACTGACGAAGAGATTTAAATACACAAGGGAGGCAACAGTAATAAAACAGGTGTAACACATTAGGGTGGGGCAGGCAATCAACAAGGAGGTAAACAGGATAAAGAAAGTAAAATAACTGAGATACACAAGGAACTCTACTTCAAAATAAAGAGTCCAAAAGTGCCCAAACATAAAGCGTCCTCTTATGGCAGATCATAACAGACACAGCTCTTCCTTTGTTTCGTGAGAAAATATCTAGCTGGTTTTTAGGTCACGGATAAGGTTTTAAGATGCTTTCTGTGCAGACGTACATCACTTTGTTGCATTGTAGTTCCTGTACGGTCAGATAACCTCAAAATTAATTATCCGACCAGGCCGAGGGGTTGGAATTTTCATCAACATGATGTGACAGGTGAACTGCCATATTTATGATGATAAAGTTGTCCATCCGTATAGTCATCAAGCTTGTCAGCACGTCAACAGGAGTTTATGATGCAAATTGTAGCAATACATTTGTCCGGTCTTCAGATAAAAGATAAGTCTGTCTCTAGAAGTCATGTGTGATATTCTCAAGTTAAGGTCAGTTCAGTTTGTCACATGCACATTTGGCAGATAATGGCAGTGAGATGCTTTCAATTGTAGCTCTGATAATGAGACTAAATAAAACTCAGATTAGAGACATCCAAAATGATGACATATTCCTCTTTCAACTATGATGACACTGTCAGGTATAAGAAACATAGGACCCAGAATACAGACAGACAAAAGAGGGGTTTGGGGGGGGGGGGTAATTAATAAAGAAAACCAAACTTACAACTGAGGCAGATCAGAACTCAAACAGAATCCAGGTAAAACTCAGGAAGAAAAAAAACGAAGCTCTAGGAGACACAGGTGAAACCTGACTGGAGCAAAAACACAAACTGACAAAGACAGAGACTTAAATACACAAGGGAGGCAACAGGAATAAAACACAGGTGTAACACATTAGGGCGAGGCAGGCAATCAACAAGGAGGGAAATCTGACCAGGCTGAGTGGTTGGTTTTTCCATCAACATGATGTGACAGATGAACTGCCATATTTATGATGATATGACTTAATGACTGTTGTAGTCAATATTTTCATAAGGACTGATGGAATTAATGATTTAACATGTACAGCCAATACACATAGCTAATATACCCTTCTTTCTATGAACCAACCTTTCGATATTATACTTTATCTAATAGTGTACTGTATTTCTTTCACCTTCAGTGTAGAACTAAACTAAACTAGTCAGTTAATGTTTGACTACCTACAACATGTAAATAGTTCTTGGGGGTTAAAGTACAACATTACTATAATGTAACTGTGGCGAGCGGAGGGGTCTCTAAATAAATTGAGCCGTTACACTTTCAAGGGTTTAGGGTAATTAGGTTAGATGGGCGTTACACCCTTACGAGCCCAGCAGGTTGCCAGACAACGCCACTTTGGGAATTTCACCCAAAGGATTATTTACCTTTTATATATCACCATTAAGACACACAGGTTCGGTTACTCAAGAGGCAAGAGACGTGGTTCCAAGTTGTTACAAAAAGGGTGCACTTTATGAGAAAGATATTAAATAAATAGAAATAAATAAATCAGACATCGGAGGAGACAAAGCCAGAGAAAGCAGTAGACAAAGCAGCAGCGGTCCCAAGCAGCTGGTGGTGACGTCACGTGATACACAACCGGTGAACTCGGTCAGCTGATGAGCGTTACCTGTTTACAGAGTCGGAAGCATACACAGGGAGAGGGAGGGAGAGAGAAACCCACACGGCTGCCGGCATCTACCTGTGACCACACTAGCATTAGCCACTAGCCAGAGGACACTTACCACCGCAAAACAAGACCAGGCATCACACTGGAGCACGGCGCACTCTATCGCTGCTCTGCAGTGAAACACAAATGCTTAAAGCATGACGAGACCACATAACAGGTGAAGTGAAGCAGCAGCGCATGGCATTACCTGTGAGGGCAAACACCTCCGACCCAGAAGTGACGCGTCAGGGGGAAGCGCAAAGGAAGATGGGGGGGAGGACTGCAGCATTTATATCCAGCCGCCCCAATGATTAGTTTCCAGCTGTGCTCAATTAAATGCAGCAACAACGCAAAGAAAATAACCACATTTCTATGCTGCTACATAACAGTGTAAAAGGTCATTTTTTCACAATCAGTGCTTCCAGCGGAGTACATTTCCCTGCAAATAATGTCTATATCTTACTTCTTCCAACTATGGGGCCTGCATACCCTATAAAAACCAAATTCAAGGATTCATAGCCACAGCATGTGGGTAATGAAGGCTTTCTCCTTCGTAATGCTACTGTTCCCTAACTGCCTGAGCCCCAGTAAGCAGCCTAAAAACCAGTAAAGTCTGGCTGCTTTTGTTCACTCAATGGTACTTTTATCCACACGTGATGGAACAGAAAGAAAAGCCTCTTGGCCAGCAAGACTTAGCTGTGAACCCCCTTCCCCCTGGTTTGCATCAGTAATTATTGCAGATATTTGGAATACCTCAACATCTTTAAAGTTCTTGGGCATTGGGTCCATGCTGCTTAGGGACACTGTCAATGTGATTGACATGAGGCCCACACACAACTTAGATGCTTTGAGCTGCTGTTACTCTACAGTTATCCTCCTCTGACTGTTAAAGCCAAGTCTTTGTTAAGTTTCTTGAGCTCCTCAGTGATGGAGACCATTACTGGGATCATACAGCTTAATGGTCAAAACAGCTCACAGTTCAAATTTCAATAAGAAAAAAAACATAACCTTATAACATGACACGAAATGGTGTAAGAGGGAGAATTATTAAAAGTTGTTTCATCCTCCGTATCAAGATCTGCTCAACACTTGGGAATCATGTGGCCCGCAGTTTCTGAAGCAGTGTCTTTCCACCAGTTGTGGTATTCAGATCTATTACTCAAATATGGGCTCATAAGATAATTATGACTGAGGTAAAAGCTTAAACTGAAAAGTAATTTGTAATTATAACTGTAAAACAAATGTTGTGGACTAAATAGTACAATATTTGTCTCTGGATCGTGGTGGAGTAAACATATGGAGTAGGATAGACTAGAAAAACTAAAATAGCCTGAAATACAAATGCCTCAATACCACACTTTCCACATTTCTCCTGTTGAAGCGTTGGCCTTTGTGAATTCTAGCAGTAGACAGTTGCATCATCACAATATCCTGAAAAAGCCACTGTGCACCAGGATCATGATATTTCCTCCATTAACCCACCTGTCACTTCTGTCCAGAAAGTGTAGCTAGAAGGACAGACCCACACCATATGACTTTAAGTACCAAAGTTCTTTGACAACACAAATCCCGATTTTGACTTCAAAGTAACTTTATTTTGTATCTCAAATTTAGGGATCAATAGTTTCTGTGGCAAAATTTGAGGTGAATTAATTGGTAATTTGGATGTTCGAAAGAGTTCAACATATTTCCTCAAATGTTCTCCAATGACCTGATCTCGTTCTAAAATGAATTCAGTATAAGTTGTTTTTACCAAAGAAAAAAAAAACATAATGATACAAAATCTAGGGGGAGATTTTAAAGTACATTGTACAACTAAGGCACACCTTTAATGCTGGTCCCTATCAGGTCCCTATCACAAAGTCGAGATAGTAATTAACCTTGTATGTGGAACACTTTGACATCTTAAAGCAATCCAGTACACAGCAATGACTGTGTTTATACCACCTGTTAAGTAATGATGACAAGTAATGATCACAGAAAATGTCTTGGGACAAAAACAACATAACCTATGATCACATACTGCAGCCTGGATCACAAATTACTTTTTTTTTTTCTTTTTAACACCAGCTCTCCGTCATCTGCATGCAGTGTAAATGTTCTAGCTAAACAAAGATAAATGGCAGACGTTATATAACTGATTGGTCCCAGTGTGACTGACGGGAGATAACGACTGTTTTTGTCGCTGTCAGATATCTGCTCTGGACTTCATCCACAACTGGCCAAATGAACAGAGTGCTTTCTTGCCATCAATCACCCATTAACATTAAAGTCATTCGATGTATGTATTGCAACAGGAAGAACATTTAATGAGTGAAAACCGTACAAGTGGGTGGTATAAAGTAATCCCTATGTTTATGTCAGCCATACCAGACTTCTCCACATCTAAACAAGACCTGCTAGTGAGCTTTGCTTTGTTTCATACTAACACTGCAAAAACTTGTATGTCCAAAGTGGCAGCTTTTTTGACAATATCTAATAACTTGAAGGTATTAAATACGTCAGAGGTTTGAGAATTGCGTCAATCCATAGAGGAAAATGTAATCCTGAAATATGTCTTAAAGCATTAAAATCTTCGAACCTGGAGATATGAGGTTTTCCCCTGACAACAATGATGAACTCTCTCCATTAGACAGAGGAGAGGCCTCCAAAACACAAGGACTGTGTTTAGAAAAGTATTTAGTGAAAGCCGATAAAGGATACAGAAGGGAAAGCACGTAGTCAGTGCCACATTGCTTACTTTTTTCCAACATGTAGTTTCGCACTGTTGATATATTAATCCTTCTCTTTATACAAAATGATCAAATAAAATGTAAATTTAACCTGAAGTGAATTCATGAAATATATATATAAAATCTTTTTTCAAATGCACTTTTTATTTAAGTACATGGTCCATAATGAAAACAGTCTGTAAGGCAAACACAGCTCTGTGTTTATGGAGACACGGGACTCTGGAAGTTAATTAAATGGAGATCATAAGCAATGTTTCTCAAATTCTCTGTATTGTGTCAAAAGAAAAGGAAACAACTGGGAAGTATTCAGATTCACATAATTTATTTATTTAAAAAAAAAAGAAACTCTTGAACAAACTGAACAGAATTCTCGTCTCACAGTATGAAAATGACAGATTTAAAATTGCATACAACAACGTCCACAGCAGCGTTGGTGGTGTCACGATAAAAATGTTGTTCACAATGTGTGTGTTGGTGCAAAGGAGCAAATTGTGCACAGTGTAATACTGTGTAGTACAAATATACTCAGTAACATAGTGAAAACAGTAACACTGTACTTTAACCCCCCATACTAAACATTTATAGTATACAAACATTTGATGACTGGTTTATGACACACTATAATGTAGTTGTGTGCAGATGTACGTGTTTGTTGACAGCGCTTGTAACTCCTCCTGTGGAGACGGGTGTCTAAACACATGATGAATGACAATATAATAATATAAAATTTGTCTTCATAGGAGAAGTTATAATTGTTGACAAATATTGTACATTTATAAACACTTAAATATGTCCTCATATCTGCTTACAACTACATTTTAGTGAGTTAAGAACTGTTTATGAAATGTTTATATAGTGTGTATAAATGCTAAATAGGGTAAAGTGGTAGTTAGAGATCACAACAGTTTAGTTTAGCAGAATTTATCCTCACAATAGAGCTGTCAATGTGTTGTCAGTTTATTGTCAGTATTGACACCACTTATACGTGGCTTACATATCCACAGTCTACAGCATCCAGACTCAGATTTTCAAAGCTCATCTGAACAGAAATCTGTTGTAAAATCTAAAAGAGGATTTTATTGTGCAGGTGAGGTTAGAGGAAGTTCATTAAACAGAGTGTCCATTCTGCCACATACAGGTGCTATGTCTGCAGTTTGGCAGATATTGGATCCCCTTTAGGTGCCACTTAACGTCTCGTCGCTCTCTGTATTGCCTCACATCCAGAATACAGTTAAATTGTCAAAGAATACAGTTATCGTTCAATACAGACGAATACGCCAAGAAATGGTGCTTTACACTGGCAGTACAATGCTCAGGAGAGTCCACGTACTCGAGATGCAACCTTTCCAGAGCTCAGTAAGTCTTTTCAAGATGGCAGGCACTGATTATCATTTTCACCACAATAATGCCTCCATCATTCCCTAGGCTCATGTTAGTATTTCTTTCTGTCCTTCTCTGCCTTCGCCAACCCTGACCGTCTCAGCTCTCAGCTGCTCCAGGTCGTCCTCAGAGCTGCAGCCGCTGTGCTGCATCCCCCGGGAGAAAATCCTGCGACGGGACTGGGCGCTGAGGTCCAGCAGGTCAAAGGAATCGGACGAGAAGAGGCTATCCTCGCTCACCACACTGGAGGGGCGGCTGCGGCGTCCCTCGGCGCCCCCCGTGGCCTGGAGGAGCTGCTGCAGGGCCTCGGGGAACATCGCGGGGGCTGAAGAGGGAGTCAAGTGGTGGTCGTCGGGGAGATCCAGGCTGCGAGAAAACTTGCCATTGCGTTTCAGAATACCCTTCCTTCTTCTGACTGCCTCCGTGCGCATGGTGGGACTCTCTGCTGCTGCTGGGAGACAGCTGTGCTGCTTGTGGGAGCACAAATCACCTGCGTCACTCTCTTTAACTCCAGAGCCCCTTCTATCTGAGGATGAGCCATAACCTGACTCCCCTTCATACAAGTTCTTTAGTATCCCCTTCTTGGGCATTTTGGATGAGGGCTGGCTGAATGTAGAGGCAGACGGCAGGCTGGTGGACAGGACCTCAGCATGTGCGTGGGCAAGTGTGTGTGTTCGATAAGGCTGGGGAGAATTGTTACATGGATGGGAGGGAGAGTTTTCTTTAGGAGGGCTGTGAAAGACTGAGTCAAAACTCCTCTGGGGTTTCAGAATACCTTTAGGTTTCTTCCTCTCAATAGTGGAAGTGGTGGAGGAAAGCACAGCAGAGGAGGCAGCTGTTGCACAAATACCACCACATGCTCCCTGTGCAGTCTGGGGAATCGCATTCTCCTTGCGTGACTTCCTGACGCTTGACATTCCTCCACGTATCCTCCCTCCGCCACCTCCTCCTCCTCCTCCTCCTCCTCCACGATCGCTCTTCAGAGGTAAGCTGAAGTAAAAGGGGTGGTGAGAGCGCTGAGTTGGACAGGAGGAGTCTGTGGACAGGCACCCTGAGTCAACAGTCATGTTGCTGGCAGCGGCGACCCGATTCTGCCAGTCGATGTAGCGAGCCAGCAGGGGGGAGGGGCATTCTTGGTGTGGAGATGAAGGGCAGTCACACACACTCTCTTCATAACCCCAGTTTACCCACCAGTGGTTGGCTACATCCTCTATCGTGGCTCTCTCATCCACACGCACTGTCAACAACCAGTCGATAAGAGCGCAGGCATCTGGAGGAACAGAGTCAACAGTTATTTATAGCGGCTGAACACAATGTAATTAACTGGACACTGGTAAGAGCAACGCACAAAGACATCGGAGACTCTGGTGAAAGGAAGTGTAAATATAATGTTGACAGACATTGACAAAGGTTTACCTGAGGGGGGGTTGGGTCTGTGGTAGCGACCTTGGCTGATCTGCTCAGTGAGTGTGCTGTGACTCGCTCCGTCAAATGGCATGCTGCTGTACACCAGAGCATAGAGCAACACCCCCAGCGCCCAGCAATCCACCTAGCACACACACGCACACATAATGATGAACATGCCACGCATGTAACTCAGGTTTTGATTTATACAAGACAATGAGCTGGTACATGATTTGATGTAATTTCAAGCGTGACAAAAATTAAAATAGGAGTATCTGAATATTCAAGATTTTTGAATTAAGTTTTGCCTGACCCATTTACTATGGTTCATCTACAGCATATGCAAGACAGAATCAGTGCTTTAAAGCCCCAGTTATAAATATGTGTTTATTTAAAAACACCATATGTTTCACTATATGATAACTTTCTATGCCTCCGCGCTGTTGTGTTGTGAACGCAATAACTCCGTAACGCCTTGAAGGAACTTCTTCAAACGTGGAACAAACATTCACTTGGACTCAAGGATGCACCGATAAAATTTTCGGGGGTCAAAGGTCAAAGGTCAAGGGTGCGGTGTGGCCTTGTGAACGCAAAATCTCCAGAAGGCTTCAAGGGAATCCTTCTAATTTTGCACAAATGTCTAATTGGACTAAAGGATGAATTGATGAAACTTTGGTCATCAAGGTCAAAGGTCAACTTCACGGAAACCTCAATAGCACTTTTTAGTTCCTAATATTTTTTTGTTGCAATATGCTTTCTTAATGTGGAGAGGTGCCGTCAAAGGCTTCTGTGACCCAGTCTCATTAAACAGGAAACAGAGCAGAGATATTCCCCTCTAAAATTTCTGAGCGAGCCTCGTCCCTTTAACCAATCAGAGAAGGCTGAAGACAGGGGTGGGAGCTTACAGCTGTGGTAAGTCAATAAACCTCTGGCCTACTACTCTTCTCATACTGAGGCTTCAGGCTAGTATTATCAGCTGGAAGAAGACGCTGTGGCTTCATGCTAGCACTAGTTTAATTTCCAGAACTTGCATGCTGTAGCTTTAATGAAAGACCTGTAATGTTTGAGAAGCAGAGACGGCAGCGTGCGACTCACCTCTGGCCCCTGGTATGGCAGTCCTTTCACTATCTCTGGGGCAGCATAGAGTGGACTTCCACAGTAGGTCTGCAGCAGAGTGCCCCTCTGGAAATGATTGGAAAGGCCAAAGTCGGCCAGCTGCAGAACAAAGAAGAGAAACCAATTAATACATTTTGATTTAATTTATTTTGTGTCCTGTCCCTGAGCTATTATAAGACTAGATAATTTTATTAATAGAACATTAGTAGTAACACTGACACATATTCCAAGAGGACATGACGCTACTAAATCAAAACACGAAGTATTCAACACAACTGATCTATTAATAAATTCTACAATTCTACAATGTCATTTGGCAGACGCTTTTATCCAAAGCGACGTACATATTAGAGTTTATACAACACAAGCAAGGACCTGATAAGGAGATAACAAGAAAGAGTAAGTGCCATGAGGCTAGCTTGAGTCCGACAGGACAAAGGAGCCAACAGGTAGTGCATAGAGGCAATTTTTTTTTTTCCTTTCCTTCCCCAGGAAGTTAAGTGCTACAGTGCTGAGAGAGGGCTCAGCAGTTTAAATGAATATTTGTTTCCACACTAAGGATAACCGAAGAAGGGTTTTGTAGAGGCATGTAGTGCCATGTAGTGTAGTGGTGGTAGAACCAGACGCTTTGTTAAGTGCGGAGGTACTCGTGAAAGAGCTGGGTCTTGAGTCTTTTTTTGAAGATCGAGAGAGACTCAGCAGATCGGATGGAGTTTGGTAGCTCGTTCCACCACCGGGGAACAACGGAGGAGTAGAGTCTAGCTAGAGACTTAGGACCAAAACTGATGCAGAGAAAAAAAACAAGGAAAACATAATAAACAAAACCTTAAAAAATAGCAATGGTGAGAAAAAAAAATACATATGAAATTAAAAACCTTAGTATCATATTTCAGTTTTACAGCTGTGAGCACAAAAGTCCAGAAGGTCCAAAAGTAGCCCAGTAGAGTAACCACTTCTTAAGACTCCAGCCTTTCAGAGAACACAAATTTAAACATATTTTAGCTTTAAGTTCTTTTTAAAAGCAGATAGAGATAGTGATATTTTTACCGTGTCATCAAGCTCATTCCACACCTGTGGGCCTCTGCACACCACACTAAAACTTGTACATTTAAGTTTAATACATATGTTTGTGTCAAGTGAACAAAAATGATTTATACGACTGTGAGTCTCAGTCACGGATGACATAACTACCTAACAGCTGTCACAGACACAACACTGAATCCTTAATCAATTAACACTCACTCACTTCAACAGTCACATTCATCCTCATGCAATCAGGATTCCTTTTCACTGAGTGCGCACAGCAAACTTTTAGTCATATGGCAAAAAAAAAACAACAAAAAACACAATAACTCAAAGCAATTCCTTTTAAAGGAGCCAAAAATAGGTCTGCTGTGCTTTCGCCAGAGTAAGTGTGAGTGTGGAAAGACAAGAGGGCCAAAAACATCAGGCTGCTTACGCTCAACGCAACGGAACAATCACTCACTCGAGGCCATACGCAAACACACCGAGGCTCCTCTCTATCTGGAGAGATTATTAACATGCGCACCAGCCCACTATCAGCCCCTCCGGTGTTAAAAATACTCAACGTGACAGCTTTAATTCCATGGAACAGAGGCACAGGAAAACAGAGACCTCACAGATGGAAGAAGACACTGTGTGTATATATAAATCATCTCACTGTTGATATAATACCTGTACATGCAGTGGCAATAAGAATGCGGAGACGGAGCACGTGCGTTGTGCTGTTTATACAGCTTTACCTTCAACTTGCTTTTGTGTGTGTGTGTGTGTGTGTGTGTGTGTGTGTGTGTGTGTGTGTGTGTGTGTGTGATTGTGTGTGTGTGTGTGTGTGTGTGTGTGTGTGATTGTGTGTGTGTGTGTGTGTGTGTGTGTGTGTGTGTGTGTGTGTGTGTGTGTGTGTGTGTGTGTGTGTGTGTGTGCTCACTTCATTGTAAATTCTCTTTCGACACCAGAGATACATCTGTGTGAAGGTCCTGTATTCATTTCAGCGCTCTGGCAAAGACATTCAGTCTTCACTGCTTGTATAAGACACTCTTTCCTCTGAACATACAAATGACTCCTGTACACGTGCCTTGGAAGTAAATGGACTATTGTAAGAGGCCTCTGCCCCTACAGACTGTTGGTCACATCTTGTGGGGGTCAAAAATTCAAGCTGCCTTTTGAGATCCTTGTGATATTATCATGAGAGAAGAAAGTAACATTTGGTATGAAGGGCACGATTATCTGGTCCTGCTGATCTAGGATCAAGTAAACAGTCAGTAAACTGCGCTGTTGTCTAATAAATAAACCAGCTCATTCACTCTGGTCAAATGTTCCATTTCAGTATCTGCATTTTACTCAGGGATTCACTGATGCGCTAACATTATTGGCTTCGCAGCTGTGTGTCGGGCTGATTTGTTTGCTTATTGAAGCTATGCTTCATACTTTGACCTATGAATAAAGATAAAAGCAGAAAGCTACATTTCAATTTGATGTTATTATTATCATTATGACTTTAGTGCTCACCCACCTCTGAATGGTTGATTCTTGTTTCCCCCCCCCCCAGTATGTTAATATGTTACTCACTACACAAAAAACTGTATATGAGAGGCGTCAGTGTCTGTTAACAGTTGAAATATGTAGCGAATGCATTATGAAAACACTCATTTCAGAAAAACAAGTCACCCACTGTTCAGATTTCTGAAATAAAAACAGTCAGAGCGAATTCATTATTAGTATTTTCCTAATTTATAATCTGTGGCGTCAAATTTTGACCAAGACCGAATGTTTTACCTAACATGTCTGGCAGCGGCTGCCTCTCACACTGAGCAGCTATTGTGCAGACATAACATGCCCATGCATTACACAGAGCCTCGGTCATTTCCTGGAGTGGACGCTGTGAGAGGCCGATGTGGTGAACCTGAGGTTTGCAATGAATGAAGAGCCGCTGAGAGGTCTGCACGTAGTGTTTTCTTTTGACGGACAGACAGAGCATACTTAAATTAAAACCCTCTGATTGGCGCGATTGCCACTGGATTCCCTGCATTCCCCTTTGGCCGTGCAAAGATCCCATATAAGGAGAGGAACATCCAAATAAGGCAAAAAATGACCCCTGGGTTCTTTTATAAGACCTGGCACTATGTTTGTGCTGGTTCAGTGTGCACGGCTTAACGACACATTGAAATTACTGCGGGCAGAAAGTGCTCCAATGTATGTTCTGAATGTGCACTTTGTTGGTATTTTATTGTGGAGCTGGAAAAATAATCCAATTACCATTACCAAAATATTCCTACTACCATTACCATGGTAAATTTCCCATCACGAGCTGCACTACGTGAAGCTTCATTCCAGCATGCTAAATACAGCAGCAGTGGAAAAAGATGGTTTCCTGAAACGTTTCAGCCAATGTGTCATTAAGATGTATGTCTTCATGTTCAAAAACAAAAGTGAAATCTTTGGGTGAGTCATAATAACCCATGATGTATTTAACACCAGGCCAACAATGATTTTTGCCAGAGGACATATCCATTTTTTATTCAGGGATAAATATCTTGTCCTTGGAAGGAATTTTAGATTTTCCACAGCATGCACGACCGCGCTTTCTTTGTGCGGAAAGTGACATGAAGGCTCAGTTTGCGTATGTTTGTTCGATCTTACCTTTACATTAAAATCTTGATCTAAAAGGATGTTCTCCAGTTTGAGGTCTCGATGCACAACACCATTCTGCAAGAGAGCAGAGATACACATGAGATCCTGCACTGCTCCTTCCTCCTGCTTACAGTCATATGTTTTCTGTCTACATGCAAACGTAAGACTGAAGGGTCTGAAGTTTACAATATAAACCCAGCCTGCGGTGCACAGAGCGTTTGTCTTTCATTTATAATTTTAATAACCCTTACCCTCCACTCGGGCCTCACGCTGCAGGGCCATGTGCCTAACGTATCAAGGAGCCTTGAGAAAGGTTCTCCGACTGTTTAATCATCATTAGGAATGAGGAAGTGCCTTGTTTGGGTTAATTAATCTGATAGGATGTGATTTGATCCCCTGATGGCATTAGGCACCTGGGAACCAACGTGAAGCCACAGGGCGCGGAACAGATGTGGACCCTGGCGAGGAAGAGCTGTGGAACACTTTGGACCCGATGGGAGGAAAAGTCTGTTGCAGGATTAAGTGTTTCAACGATACTGAGTAGGTAGTAAATCATAAGAAGAGACAATGCTTCTATAGATAACTGTGGCCACCCAGGAAGCCGTGTGACGCACAGAAACACTGCAGTTGGTTTCTCTTAAAGCCACTGGCTAATGAGCCAGACTAGCCTCCTTTCTGTCATTAATGACATCCCCTTCAGAGCACTTAAGTGGAGGAAATGACCCATGACCCTTAGACAATATTTTGTGAACAGTATGTAAGCCTGTATGTGCGTGTGTGTGTGTGTGTGTGTGTGTGTGTGTGTGTTGGTATGTATGTGCAAGGCAGAAGACGAGGATGAAAGAAATCTATGTGATTGACTGGATTTCATTCTTGCTATTTTTAAGTGACTATGAAGTGATTTGGAGAATAGCGAGAGAGAAAAAAAAAAACAAGAAACAAGTACAAAAGCAGCAAATGACTGAATTGTTTTCATTCTTCTCTTGAAGCCTTAATAATCTATCCACGTGTCCTGCATACCTCAGAGGCACATTCAATAATTCATTCATGCTGGAACATTCATATCTATTTTGGGACAATATTCAAGGGCACGAGGAGCAGAAAATCCACCTCCCTGCCTACTACAAAGCTACAGGGGCCGAACGTTAATCTCCAAGTTTAATGTCGGGGATTCATGCAGAAACCAACCTGCTAAAATAAGAATGATACAAAAACAAAACCCTTCCTGTCATATCCAGCTCAGCTGACTGTAAGGCACAGATCCTCACTCCTCTATTAATAGGATTTACGTATTGCCTTGATAATTCCTGTTGGTTTTATGTACACAACAATAAAAACAAAGGAACAAAGAAGAACTTGTTCCTTACTCTAGTGCGGAGGGAGGACGGAAGCTCATTTAAGCGACGTGTTTGTTAAATGTGTCAGTGTGTGACTGTAAAAAACAATCACGCCTTAATGCGCTCTTAACCCAGAGAGATCTAAAAACTCAAGTCAAGTTTTTCTGCAGTATTAGGATTAGGATTTAGTGGATTTAGCTGTACAGTATTTGCTTGTGCACCGCTGAATACCGCAGCATGCATGCAATTCAGCACGTGCCTATTTATACTGTATTCCTGCGATGCATTTGCAGAAAGTGTGTGTGTGTGTGTGTGTGTGTGTGTGTGTGTGTGTGTGTGTGTGTGTGTGAACCTTGTGGCAGTAGTGGACAGCAGATGTGATTTGTCTGAAGATGCTTCTGGCTTCTGCTTCGGGCAGTCTCCTCCTCTCCTGGATGAAGTCGTACAGCTCTCCTCTGCTGGCATACTCCATCACTATCACGATCTTATCCCGGCTCTCAAACACTGCACAGGACACATTTACAATACGAGGTTATGCAGATGCGTTTACATGAGTGTTAGGGGATACCTCAAATTTTCACGACACAACATTAAGTGCTGCCATTCTGCATCTTTAGAGACAGAGACATGAATAATTAAGAGGCTGGAAGCTTGACATGTGTGGATCAATGTCTCCCTGGATCGCTGTAGCATTCGTTTGATGAGGGGGTTTTCTATTGCTTCACATTGTGTACTCAGATATTTACTGTTTTTTTCTCTAATCACTACAGTCTTTTCATCACAATCTATTTAAACCGAGAAGGAACCAGAAATCGTGCACGCTGTCGGCCATTTGTTTCATGAGGTAAGACTCTTACCTGATTAAGGTTTACTGCCCAAAACAATGTAATTAAGTAAAGAGAGTTCAAGTGACCAACGAGTCTGCTGGACTGCTGGTTCCCTGCTTTTACCTCTGAATTGATTTGATATATGCTCATACATATGGATCCAATAAATCATCTTATTCACACCTAAGTATTTAAAAACATGAAATACAGCAATGGATACTGAATATTTCAGAGAATAAGGCTGGTAATATCCCAGAATGAACAATCAATCAAAAAATACAGTTTTTACAGGCAAAAATCTTGGAAAATGGTTCACAAATACACAGTTTCATTTTTTAAAGGCTAAATGATTTCCTAAAACAGGTGATCACTGCAGCTAATATAAAACATTACTCACACAGGAGTTAAGTAGTGCACTTGTTAGGGACTATTTTCAGATGCAGATTTGGTGCTTCCTGAATGTATTCAGTTGTTCACATGAGATCAACCCAGAATAAACTGCTTCATGGTAATGAATTCGTTTTTGAACAACACTGTGGGTTTATGGAACAGAGGAAGAAGCTGTATCAGGATTTGGACACATTGGGAATACTGGGATCGATTCGTTGCTGGTTGTGGTCTTCAAATGGGATTTGTTAACAGTAAAATTTCCTCTTATATGCATTGTATGACATCCACTTTAATTTCACAGAATCTGCGTTCATTTAGTCTCATGTCATTTTCTTTGAAGCATTCAGTCTAAAAATCACCCTTATCTTTAGGCCTTGTGTGTGATGTGTGTGTGTGTTTGCAGTCTTACCCTCGTGGAAGCGTATGATGTTGGAGTGGCTGAGCGAGGAGGTGATCTCGATCTCTCTCTGGATGTGAATTTTGTCCAGGTCGTCAGTGATGCGCTCCTTGCGGATCGACTTGATCGCCACCTGAGAAAGAAGACACTGAGTCAATACATGTTTACATGAAGCTCAGAACTGAAACCTCACATCATTTGATCACTGTTGTGATAAAGTGTGGATGGTTAACAACAACATTGGGGACAGTAATGATGATGGTTTATGCGACACTTGTTGTTGTTGCCCATTTTCACAGAAGATTCTAGCCATCGAACACAGATTCGTCTTTGATCAACACTGATAAATGCACAGTTCGTGTATCACTTGCATAGACAAAGAAACAAAGACATACATAGTGTTGATACGGTTACACTCACGCACACACACACACAAATAAAATCTCTGGGTATTAGAGATGATTATGTGGGTTTTAAAGGCTGGATGGTGAGAGCAGGTCTTCTGTGATCTGAGCCCGCTCAGAGGCAGAAGGTTGACAGCTGCACTGTTCACACTCTGCTTCCTTAATCCCAGGCACTCACTGTACCCCGATGTAACCCCCAACCACCGAACACACACACACGCACACACACACACACACACGAAAGCAGGCACCCGAGCATGAGCCCCTAAATCTCTTTGGATAGAGTAACTGTCACCAAAATGGCATTGTACAAAGAGAAGACAGACCAGGATGTTCTTTTTAGAAATACTAAATAGTTTAAAAAAAAAAAAAAGGACAACAAAAGAGTAACAGATGTGAGGTTGACATCCGAACATAGCCCTGATCACACCGCTTTATAATTCTGTCAACCCATACAGAGTCCCCACGGGTGAGCAGTCCTCTCCCTCGGGTCGCAGCTCCTGAATTCTCAGCTGCCGGAAAAAAGAAAAAACGTCTACGAGACATTGGAAGACACAATTCACACGCTCCATCAACCGCAACAGTTATGCAAGACAACACAAATGCACTCCAGGGAACACCCGGGACCGACCTGACCTTCTACTACTGATGTGGCGCAATCCAGTGAAGGAGAATATTTGTCGTTTTTTTTTCTATGTTTGTATCTTTACTATAATCAAGTGCTGTCTGAGGATGTTTCTCTCACATCACCAGAGTCACCAGAGTCATGCAGGGCCAGGTTTAGGGATTAGGGACACACGTATTCAGTGGTTGTCGGCTAGATGGAGTACATCCAAGCTTGGGGAGCCATTAACATGTGGTCGCTTGCATGCATGCGAATCTTTTCTGACCCAAATACCTGCTGGCTCGTGGGACAGCAATGTGAGGAAGGTAAGGGGAGAATGTGAAATAAGCTGCAGGGGTGAGGAGGGAGGATGTGAGAGGCGGCTAACAGAACAGGTGAAAGGAATGGATAAAGTACGTCAAAGTATGTGGAATCAGGGTAAAAATGTATTTTACTGTCACTCTCAGCTCTGAGTTACTGAGACATTAGAGAGTCTGATCAGCAGAGCACAGAGAAGAGAGGGACACACTCTGGGGATTGTTCAGCCTTTCGGGGCACGAAGAGCATTTTTTAAAGGGGCATGTGTGTGAGGAGGAAGTGTGGGTATGTGTGTGTGTTTGTGTGATTTCACCCTTGCGTATGCAAATATTGCTGCGTATGCGTCATGTCTAAGTACGACCTCTAAAGTATCCTCCTCACCAACATTGTCTCATTGTTCATGTTCGTGCGAGATATCATCCAAAAACACCAAACTGTAACACATGTAGGAAACATAAGAGGCTATGTGTGTGATGTAATCATTTATTCTTTAGTGCAGGAGAAGAACATACTGTGGATGTGATAATGTTACAGCCAATACAAATGTACAATATGTACCGTCATAAAACTTCATTTAATCCAGTCACAGTAGAGCTTTTTCTTCGCTTCCTCCCCCTAATCTTCTTTCTTTAATATTTATTGCCTTAGTTATGACTTTCCTCAGTGCACAAATCTTGAGGCTGCTGACTTTTTGCAGGTGTTTTTTGTGTGTGAAGTCACGATGGAATTTGGAGTGGCGGGCAGCCACTCACCAACTTCCTCCTGTCCCATTATTCCCACAGACAAATTCACCAACACACACACGCACACACACGCACACACACACACGGTACGTTCACATCCTAAGAGCCTGAGCATCACTAAAGATCCCTGCTGCATCTGTGAAAGATTTAACAGCAGGATTATACAGGCTTCTTGCCAAAAAAGATCCCTGACCTCATCGTCCAGCCACCCACCCACACACACACACACACACACACACACACACACACACACACATAGAGCCCGAGGCTGTCCCTCTCCATAACAAGGGACTTCTGAACTGTGCAAGTGTGTTGATGTTGGTGGACTGCAAATTGGACAAATACACAAACTCAATGCGAAGTGACAAGTAGGGCTGAACTTTTTCAGCGCTGACGTCCACCCATGCACCACAGAGAAGATTTAACTGCTTGCTAGAAAACAAAAAAACTCTTCAGGACTAATCTTCAAGTCAAACTGCCAATTTAAAGCAATAGTTTGATAGTTTGAAACTTAGTATGCTTTCTTGCCAATATTTAGATGAGAAGATTAATATTATTCTCATATCTGTCAGTTCAATATGGAGCCAGCAGCTGGTTAGCTTAGCTTAAGAGTAGAAACAGGGGGAAACAGCTAGCCTGGCTCTGTCTAAAAGTTAAACAAAATCTGACTACCAGCACCTTTAAAGCTGATAATGAACACATTATATCTCAAATCCGTACTAAAACCGTAAATGTTAAAATGTCAATCTGCGTTTTTTTACGGTGGTTTATGCTTTTGGCTGAGCACAATGAGTAGTTGGGAGTCGCTGCTGGTGCTGACAAGACTTCAGGAAGTCACTGCTCCTTGCCAAGATATAGTCCAGTACATGTACATCTCTAAAACATAACTTTGTTTTTACACTTTTGTCCAGATTAGGCAAAAAATTAGTGATTAGTAAACTTTAGTTAAGGGGCCAGAATACTCCATCAGAACTGCTTTGGAGCCCCCTCCATCCACACCCCAAATCAGGGCAGTGTCCAACCAATAGTGTAACTTTCCGAATCCAACCGGTGAGAAAAACTTCAACCCATTCTTCTCTAGTGTAACCCAGCCCTTAGTGTTGCTGGTAGTCCCGTTCTGTTACCTTGGACCAGAGCCAGGCTTGCTCTTTCCCCAGTCTTTATGCTAAGCTCAGCTATCCAGCTGTGGTCTCCCACTTCATAATCAGCCAGATGTAAGAGTGATATCAATCTCCATGTTTAACTCTCAGCACATAAGCAAACAAGTGAACTCCCCAGATTGCAATTTTTCTTAGAGCAGACTGATTTATTTAGCACACAACAGCAGAACATGCAGCTGGTCTGTGCTTTTGCGTCTAAGAAGATAAAGGAAACTGTCAGAAACAAGAACTACTACATCTGCAGACTGGAAGTATTTTCATCTTGGCAAAAATAGGTGCACTCTTTCTTTTCCAAATGGTGCACCACAAGTTAAAAGCTGCACACAGCTGTTATATTTAAAAAAAAAAAAAAAAAAAAACGTCAGAATGTACATTGCACAAAACCAAAAACATTTTAAAGTTATCCTTTTTCTAACATACTTCAGTGTTAGAGACGAGTCAGGCTCCCGGCCACTGTAAGTGACCTACAGCACAGATTAGTGACCCAGCATTCATCATCTGTTCCTCTTTTCCTTCCATTTCATCCTGTGCGTTAGTCATGTTCACCTCCTGCAGAACAAGCACTCGGGAACATTTACAGGAACAATCTCAAGTCAGCTCTTTAATCTAAAATATTTCCTCTTCCTCCTTCTTGCTCTAAAACCGTCTCCTCCTCTGCCTCCTCCCCGCACTCAAACAACAGCCCCCTGGTCTTGTTTCCTAAAATAATGTCCGTTTTGTTTCAAAGAATCCTTGGTATGTGCTGGCTACTGGCTCAAGGAATCCAGCATTTTCCCCTTGTGTCCCACACACACACACACACACACACACACACACACACACACACACAGTACATAGCTAATTCTCTCTGCTCATATCCCTTCATCAGTCTCCTGCCTGTCTTCTGTCTTTCACTCCCTCTCTCAGTCCTTTCTTTCTCGCAGATGGAGGTCTCGGAGTTACAGTGAAAGCTGCCAGAGGAATGGTGCCAGTCACACTTCCACAATCTGAAGATTATCCTTATTACTGTGTGTTTGTTTACAAAAAAAAAAGCAGAAGGGGAATTTGAGGCTGACGGGGTCTCTGTCTCTTTGTGCTCAGATCAGAGCAGAGTGAGGGATTAAAGCCCGACTGTGGGCATAAACCCACAATTATTCAAACTAATCTGGCACCACATTCTGTTTTTAACCTGGATACTCAGTTAAACAGACATTATATTATTATGTCTGTCTGAGTGTGCCTATGTGTGTGTGTTCACTGGGTTGCTAGTAAAGGGGGTCAGGCTCCTATTGGAGGAGACCTATTGTAGTAATTTTATCCCCTTGTTCAAGTGCTGAGTGAGTCAGACCAAAGGCATCTCAGCCTGGCAGCACTGGAAGCAAGAACTGGGTTCAGCATCAGCCCATGAGCTCACCCGCAAACACACAAACACACAAACACACAAACAGAGACACACACACACACACACACACACACACACACACACACACACACACACACACACATGCCCCCCAGGAGCTCAACTCCACCTCCAAATTAATATTTAATAACTAATGGGCAACATTCTTGAAACAGCCACATCCCAACAAACACACACGCACACACACACACACACACACACACACACACACACACACACAGACACACACACTGCTGAAGACAAATGCATTAGCAGCATATCACATAACTCTATCAGGCTTTTGTATGGGTCAGCTGAGGAAGTTCAGAGGTCAGACATTTTCAGAAACAGGTTGATCATGATGTAGGCAACATTCACCCATAAACACAACAATTTTTCTGCATTTCATCCTGCGTGATAAATATTTAAGATGAGGACAGACAGCATCCTTGAGGCACAAAGCTTAGTGGAAAGGCTTAAAATCATATTTTGCTTCATATTCACCAGCACATTACTCACCGTCCTCAGACTTGCTCTCTCCACCGCCTTCTTCACTTTGCCGTAGGTGCCTTTCCCCAGAGTCTCCATCACCTCGTAGCGGTGTTTCAAGTTGTGTTTGTGCTGGTGCTTCTTCACTTCCATCGGCGCTGTGGCTGCCGGTGACCGCCCCGCCGCCGCCTCCATTTCTGGGTTTCTCTGCTGCTGCCGCCTGTCTGCGCTGCAGGGACGGCGGCTGTCCAGCCTCGGGGACTCCTCACCGGCTCGGTGGCCGCTGGATGCCGCGTCCTGCAGACAACCGAGCTCGGAGCGGTCGCTGGTGTTCATTGCGCCTCTGCTGTCCGCCTCACGTCTGCCCATCCTCTCTGCGCACTGCGCGCACCTGTCAGGAAAGGGCTTCACTGGGGACTGGATCCCCAAATTGCTATAAACTCTGAACACAAGCAGCTGAAGTCAGTGACAGAGCAGTTGCCCATAAAGAGCCACAAACTTGTCTAATGTCCTAGTTTCAGAAAACTCATCCGACCCATCTGAGCAGCAGCAACACCAGCAGCAGCGTAGGCTACTTCTCTCCCTGTCTTCAGAATCACAGCAACAGGAGAGATGAGAACCACATGGTCCGGAGCGGTGGGTGGAGCCTCCTCATTCCTGTGCCAGCTCTCATAGCAACATCCCGGCGAGTCACACTCAACTTGGGATCACTGTGGGTTTTTTCCGACTGCTCATACTTGACCTGCCGGAGCAGCAGGAGAGAGGATATGAAGGCATGTATGGAATGTCGTGCGGGTCAGACACTCACCCTAAATCCACCACTTCAGTCAGACATGTTTGTTGATGCTTTGCCATGCGGTGAGCTGAGAAAAAATAAACCCTGGAGAAGACTTTGAAGAAACTGGGAGGAGGTACAGACTTTGAAGTCAGAGAGAAAGAATAATAGTTGTTGGAAAGACTACAGGATTAAATTCTCATTCTTTTTTAAACTTTTGAAATTCACATATAAATAATCAAGAAACACTAAAGGCAACTCATTTGTGAAAATGCAACTGTATCCATTTATTATCTTAGCCTATAAAAACCTTGAAAAAAGTGATCACAGGAATTCACCTACACAATAAGACTTGATGTGGCTGTAATGTCTTGGAACAGTTAATGAATCATAATGCTTAACCAACAAGTAACTAGCCATTATAATGGCAAAAACACCTTATAATAACCCCTTCCACTGATTCTAACTGCAGGGAGGCGTGATGGCTTACAAATTTGTTTTTGCTTTCCAACAAGAAAACGATCCTACTCCAACAAATGTTAGTTAAATAATGACCTCTCTGCATCCTTCATCCAGAGGTCAGCGGGTCACAAAGTCCACAACACGAGTCCTTACTGATCCAAATATATACAAATTGTAAAGGACAGAGAAAGCTAATCTGGATGGCTCTTCACCTTAAATTTAGGTTCACCACCTTTCCTGTGAAAAAGTCCAATTACTAATACAGTGTGACGAGTTATTATTGATCATTAAAGCATTCACACGGACCATTAACTATTAGTAAAGACATTAATAACCATTTATTAACTCTCTCTAAGTAAATTATCTCGTAAAGTGCCACTATAGCTACAAGACCACCAAGAAGACCAGAAGAACAACAGGCCTAAAGGACCAGTGTGTAGGATGTAGCAACATCTAGTGGTGAGGTTGCAGACTGCAACTAAATGAATACTGTGTCCAAAGGTTAAAATCCTTGAAAAATGTAAAAAAAGAAAAAAAAAAAGACCCCCCGCTGGTTGTCTGGTGACCTCATGGTGAGGACAAGAGTGCATTAACTAAATGAGATATAACATGTTCTGTTAATGAGTCAGCCTTAAAGGTGCTGTTAGGTGGATTTTGTTTCTTTAACCTTTGGACAGAGCCAGACTTGCTGCTTTCAGTCTTTATGCAAGGCTAAACTAATTATCTGCTGGTTATGAGTTGAGTTTGGCATCATTATTCTCATCCAACCCTTAGCAAGAGAAAAGTAAATGAGCATAAATAAAACTATAATATTAAAACTAAATATGTTTTCAACCCAATCAATAACTGTCATCTCTCAGAGGAAACTGGAGGAAGCAGACATTTTACAGAAGGACACATCAGAGACTACAATTTGCATCTTGTTTCCCACCAGCAGAAGACACTGGTTTCTTTAAACCATTCTCTCCCTGCTCTTAATCAAGTAGTTTAAGAACATTCATATGAATAACTTTCGGAAAGGTCATATGAGTCATTTCCAAAGAAACTAACCCAACTTTGTTGTTTATGAGGATTTCCTAATTGTTCATAAAGATTAGAAATTGAAAAGGAAAACACTTCTCACAGACTTTTACACCTAAGAAAAAGAAAGAACACAGAGTATTGTGTTTTTTGGGAAGGCAACCAACTAGACATCCAGATTTCACTCTTGCTGTCGATACATGTGAAATCCTGGCGTTAAGCCAGGTTTAGATACATTTGTATGAGGTTCAGAAGGCAGAAGCTGATTTCCCACACATCATGGCCCCTAGCATTGTTGCTCAGAGCCAGGAGTAGATGCATCAGGGTGCGAAGAGGTTTCGAGGATTGAGGTTGGCAACCAGACAGACGTCATAGCTGTCGTGCATGGCTGCTCGTCTTTCCACCACCGTCCACACATTGTCCGCGGGGTCCAGTAACAGAATCTCCTTGGTGATGATCTCATGACGGCCTGCAGGCATGAGAGAAAAGTATGAGTTACGGCTGACCAAAATCTAATTTCCAGAGAAACTGCTTCATCAGTGAGCTGGCATTCCCTAACTCTGATGCCTTGTGTTTGTGCAACAAGAGGCATTTCAGCCTGCAAAGGCTGATTCACCACAATGTTAAAGACATGGAAATTTTCTTGGTGACTAGGAGCGGGGCCAGATGGGTGCAATGACCCTCCCCTCATCCCCTGGAATCCGATTGCCTGCCCCTCTGGTGCCCCCCTACCAGAGCCAGAGATGCCAGAGAGTGATTGGTAGTTTGCTTGTTGGTATCATTCGTGGATTACCAAACAAGAGCCAGAGCCTCTGCAGTGAAGGGACTGTTAAAAAAAAATCAGCCAAACAACTACAAAGACGCACAAAACAGTGCAACACCTAAGGACCACAAAGAGACACAAAATCACCACAAAAAGATGCAAAATGTCAAAAGGGAGATGCAGAACGCCCACAAAGAGATGTAAAACAACAACAAACAAATGTGAAAAGACAACAAAGAGTTGTAAAATATGCAAATCAACCACAAAGAGACACAAAATGACTACAAATGATGCTACCACTTGTCTCTGGTACCACACAAAGAAGCTGCTTGAAATAACTGACAGGCATTCAGTGACTGACCAGCCCCCTTGTAGTATCCACAGAGGTAGAGCTTTCCCTCCAATACTCCTACATTGGAGGCGTTGGTTCGGAGGGAGAGCAGGGACATGGGCAAGGTTGGTCCTGCCCTCCAGGTGTCTGTATCTGGGTTATAGATCTCCACAGAACTCAAACAGCGACGCGACTGTCCACGGTCCTCTCCATCACATCCAATACCACCTGAAGAAAACACACATGCATTGTCTGGCTCCGCTCCTTCTCATACACAGTGAATACGTAGGGATACAGTTGTAGCCTGTCTTAGACCTAATATGTAGATTTCTCCGTTGAGGACAGCCGTGCTGCAGCGGTACCTGGAGTACTTCATCCTGGAACACTCTGTCCACCTGTCCCTACCAGGGTCAAACTGGAACACACGGTTACTCAGCTTGTCAGGCTCATCATCCGGATGATCCTGTGGTAGGAGAGGAGGAAGGTGAGATTTAGGCAGAGGGAGGAAGATAAAGACAAAGGTGTGAGAACTGAGAACTCAGAAGCAGCAGAAACAGAAAAGAAAAAAAGGGAACTGCTCCTCTGAGTCTTTCACCAAGTCACTGAGTTGCCTTAAAGCTGCTACTTGTAGGATTTTATTTTAGGCTTTTCAGCTAATTCTGTTGGCTTAAGGTTTTGTTGCAGATAACTGAATTGTTACAGCTTCTTTCAGCCCATTCGTCTCACCACCTCTGGGAATTTTGTAATTCTACTCAGTGGATTTACTGCCGCTGAAAACTTCCCTGCAGGATCGCAGCGAGCCACCGACGTCCTGAGACATTGATATTTGGTTGAATTTAGGTTGAAGACATCAGTTGACAGTGGACCTTGATATTTGTATTTCTCTGTTACATTAAATATGTATCAATAAATATGCAACAATCAAAGTCAAAAGTCAGTAAAAACACTTTTTTGTTGAGTTTAACAATCAAAAACTGCAAAATCTTCTTCATCTGGACTATGTGGATGTGGTTTGATCAGAATTCATAGACCAAAACACTCACCAACTATCATCACAAGTGATTCAGATATCACTAAATCTTGAATGGTGTGTGGAGAATTGCGACACCGCCTTTTTCTAGCTTCAAACCAATGAGAAAAACAAAAATGACAGAAATCTGAAATCTCAGAAACTGTATCCCCTTTCTTGCTCAGGGACACACTTCAGTACACCCCTGCGCTGCACATTCATTATTGACTGCAAAACTGTTTGTATTTACAGGTCTGTACCTGTGGTGTCCAGCCACCCAGCACATAGAGATGCTCCTTCAGGCTCACGGCGCAGTGGCAGGCTAGAGGGAGAGGCAGAGGAGCGAAGCTGAGCCAGCTGCCTCCTCTCTTCAGCGACCATCTCTCCACACTGTCTGTGATGATGTAGTGATTCCGCACTTTCATCTGACCCCCTATCAAATACAGGGCATCGCCTACCAGCCCTAAAGCATACATGTCCCTGTATGCTGCTGAGCATACCTCCACCCAGCTTTTCTCCTCTGAATTATCATACCTGGAAGACAGACAGACAGTTCAGATCTGGTTCTGAATGCAGTGCCAATCAAAAATGGGGGTTTTTCAGTTATGACACACCTGTAGATATCCACCCTCTTCATCCTGTGTTGGTCCACTGCCTCTATGGCCACCACTATGTTGTTGTCTCGTGTCACTGCCCCTGCTGTGATCTGGCCCATACCTCCACAGCCCCTCAGCGGAGAGGGGATGTAGTAAGTCTTTCTAGCATGGGGGGCAAAGCAAAAGCTGAGGTCGGCAAGTCCTCCACGGCGGGCAGGCACTCCCTCTTTATTAACCCCGCCCAAACAGAGCAGCAGGTCAGTGGTCTCCATGCCATAGCGAAGAGCTGGGCGAGGTGGAGCTGACATCTCACAGAGACCCGAGGTCTGGAGAGCAGCATCAATCATCCCAAAGCACTCAGCATCCCGCAGCAACACCTGGAAGGTTCATTCACAGGCATTATATTCTGTTAATCTACTAATCCCTTGATGAATGTGGATAAAAGAGTCTTGACTTGTATTACTTGGCCATTCCCTCCTATCCCTTCTCACCGGGTTTCTCCTCCTGGCTTTGCGGAGGAATCCCGGGTCCACAAGCTCTAGCCGGACACGCCTGAGTAACTGCACAGCCTGGGCTTCGCTCTGCGAGTCCCCTCTTCGCCTCTCCACCCAACGCAGCACCAGCTCCAGCACAACCTCCTCCTGCGATATGTTGAG